TATCAGACAATCAAAATTTAGTAAAAAGTCATTAAAAATTTATTTCTTCCAAATTTTAGCATTCTAGTCATCTCAAAATTACCTGAGTTCTAGTAGGGACTGAGCCTAACACAATCCTGAAGAATACAGAATTTTATTTAAATTTTTAAGTAGTAGCAGGTCCACCCGTACGCTATCAGACAATCAAAATTTGGTAAAAAGTCATTAAAAATTTATTTCTTCCAAATTTAGGAATTCTAATCATCTGAAAATTACCTGAGTTCTAGTAGGGACTGAGCCTTACACAATCCTAAAGAATACAGAATTTTATTTCAATTTTTAAGTAGTAGCACCCTCACCCGAACGCTATCAGACAATCAAAATTTGGTAAAAAGTCATTAAAAATTTATTTCTTCCAAATTTAAGAATTCTAATCATCTGAAAATTACCTGAGTTCTAGTAGGGACTGAGCCTTACACGATCCTAAAGAATACAGAATTTTATTTTAATTTTTAAGTAGTAGCAGGTCCACCCGTACGCTATCAGACAATCGAAATTTGGAAAAAAATCATTAAAAATTAATTTCTTCCAAATTTAAGAATTCTAATCATCTGAAAATTACCTGAGTTCTAGTAGGGACTGAGCCTTACACAATTCTAAAGAATACAGAATTTTATTTCAATTTTTAAGTAGTAGCACCCTCACCCGAACGCTATCAGACAATCAAAATTTAGTAAAAAGTCATTAAAAATTTATTTCTTTCAAATTTAGGAATTCTAATCATCTGAAAATTACCTGAGTTCTAGTAGGGAATGAACCCTACACAATTCTGAAGAATAGAGAATTTTATTTAAATTTTTAAGTAGTAGCAGTTCCACCCGTACGCTATCAGACAATCAAAATTTGGTAAAAAGTCATTAAAAATTTATTTCTTCCAAATTGTAGAATTCTAATCATCTCAAAATTACCTGAGTTTTAGTAGGGACTGAGCCTAACACAATCCTGAAGAATACAGAATTTTATTTCAATTTTTAAGTAGTAGCACCCTTACCCGAACGCTATCAGACAATCAAAATTTGGTAAAAAGTCATTAAAAATTTATTTCTTCCAAATTTAAGAATTCTAATCATCTGAAAATTACCTGAGTTCTAGTAGGGACTGAGCCTTACACAATTCTAAAGAATACAGAATTTTATTTCAATTTTTAAGTAGTAGCACCCTCACCCGAACGCTATCAGACAATCAAAATTTAGTAAAAAGTCATTAAAAATTTATTTCTTTCAAATTTAGGAATTCTAATCATCTGAAAATTACCTGAGTTCTAGTAGGGACTGAGCCTTACACAATTCTAAAGAATACAGAATTTTATTTCAATTTTTAAGTAGTAGCACCCTTACCCGAACGCTATCAGACAATCAAAATTTGGTAAAAAGTCATTAAAAATTTATTTCTTCCAAATTTAGGAATTCTAATCATCTAAAAAATACCTGAGTTCTAGTAGAGACTGAGTTCTAAACAATTCTGAAGAATACAGAATTTTATTTCAATTTTTAAGTAGTAGCACCCTCACCCGAACCCTATCAGACAATCAAAATTTGGTAAAAAGTCATTAAAAATTTATTTCTTCCAAATTTAGGAATTTTAATCATCTGAAAATTACCTGAGTTCTAGTAGGGACTAAACCCTACACAATCCTGAAGAATAGAGAATTTTATTTAAATTTTTAAGTAGTATCATGTGACGTCAGAATTAATTTTCTTCCTCCTAAATTTTTTTTTCTTATTATTTTAATTTCTCTTTCTCGTTTGATAAACTTGAAAAAAAGTTTAGAGAGTTTAAAATTTGTTTCTGAAAATAACAAATATTGATTTCTCTCGAAGAAAGAATTTTTGTCAAATATCATATTAAGATTTTCAAAGAGAAAAATCAATATTTGTTAGCAAATAGATTTAAAAATGCGTTACTTATTTGGAAACCATGGAGCGATCTCATAGTAGAAAAATCTGGACCCTTCAATCTAAATTTGCGTGGACAGATCCCGGCGCAAGATAATCATCAGTTGACGGCAAAGCGGGAAAAACCCAAAATTCAAAATTTGGAAAAAAATCATTAAAAATTTATTTCTTTTAAATTTTAGAATTCTAATCATCTCAAAATGACCTGAGTTCTAGTAGGGACTGAGTTCTAAACAATTCTGAAAAATACAGAATTTTATTTAAATTTTTAAGTAGTAGCAGGTCCACCCAAACGATATGAGACAATCAAAATTTGGTAAAAACTAAAAACATCATTAAAAATTTATTTCTTCCAAATTAAAAAATTCTAATCATCTGAAAATTACCTGAGTTCTAGTAGGGACTAAGCCTTACACAATCCTAAAGAATACAGAATTTTATTTTAATTTTTAAGTAGTAGCACCCTCACCCAAAACGCTATCAGACAATCAAAATTTGGTAAAAAGTCATTAAAAATTTCTTTCTTTCAAATTTAAGAATTCTAATCATCTAAAAAATACCTGAGTTCTAGTAGGGACTGAGCCCAACACAATCCTGAAGAATAGAGAATTTTATTTAAATTTTTAAGTAGTAGCAGGTCCACCCGTACGCTATCAGACAATCGAAATTTGGTAAAAAGTCATTAAAAATTTATTTCTTCCAAATTTAAGAATTCTAATCATCTGAAAATTACCTGAGTTCTAGTAGGGACTGAGCTCTACACAGTAATATATTTAAAAACTACGCAGATTTTTTTAAGATAATAACATAATTTTCAATAATAAATAAATACTATTACTTGTAAGAAAATAAGCTTAATTAAATACTAATAATACTATATTTTGACAACCGAGTGATATTTTCGTTTATATTACAAATTTCCTTAAATTATTAACCCTCACATGCTCGAGTTCAATTTTTGAAATGCGCGCACAAGGTGGGTCCGAGGGACCCGGATGTTTCAATGCAATAAAAAATAAAATTTAATAGCAAAGTGCTTCATATTTTCCATATTTAATACAATTTTAATGATATAATTGCATAAAAAATTTTAAATATTGAAAAGTAATCAAGATATAACTAAAATTTGTTTAATAAATTTAATGAGTCATTTTGAATAAATCGAACTACATACTTATTAAGCAAGATTTTTTTAATGTGTATTTTTTGTTCCATTAAATTTATCGATATATTAAGCATATGTTATCACTTATTATGGCAGTTATTGATAAAAATACCATAAATAAATCCAATATTGCATAAAAATTGCAAATTTTAAAATATTTTTTCATAGCCCGGGTCCCTCGGACCCGACTTGTGCTTTTACGAAAGTTCGACTTAAAAGGTATTTTACCAGAATATTTTATAAATAAAAAATTGTTTATATTGATGAAAAATGTGTGTTTTTACGTCCCCAAGCCTAATGTGAAGTTGATTTTCCAATAAGATTTTCTTAACCGGAAGTAGATCAAAAAAACTTTCCTCCGGGTCCGAGGGACCCGGCTCGAGCCTGTGAGGGTTAAACAGAAAAATATAGTTTTCTGGTGATGTTCTGGTAGGGTACTCGCGACATTTCTTTGTAAGACAAAGTTAAGTTAAGTTCTGACAAGATCCGAGCGTCACAGAAAATCCAGAGGCCTATCTAGTTCCCTACATTTTTCCTTACTCAGATAGATAAAAGGGAAATTTTACAAGGCCTCTATGAGAATCCTACTGCAAATCTACATGGGTTACCTTAAACCTCCGTTCTCCTACAGGAGGTTCAGCGTATCTCATTCCTCGAAAAGAATAGATTTTTCTTCCCAATCTGGTCGTCATGAATGATCCCTTTACTCTACCTAGGGGAATATTTAGTTCAAAAGTTCTAGATTCTTCAGCAGCAAGAAGAACCGATATCATTTGAATAAACAAAATACACAAAATAGTACTCCTCATTGTAATTTTTTTTTTGAAAAATATTCACAATACTTTATTATATGCACGACTTGAAAACAGTTTTGAATTACACTGAAGCTTAAATTAGTGACGCGGAAACAATTTATACTTCCAGAACAAGGAAAAATTTACTTAAATTCAATAAAAAAAAAAAAAAAAGAAATGAAAAGCAGAAAAATTCGAAAATTATAAACAAACACTTAGTGATTATTTTTGGAATATTTTAATAAGACGTAATATTTATTTTCTTAATGTCTAATTTACTTTTTAAATAATGTATATATTTTTTTCTAATTCAACAATAATGTCATTCAATCCTCTTAAAATACAATATTGTTGAAATTTTTTTTTTTCATTATTAATGTTATAAAAATATATTCTCTCTTTGTGAAAGATAATAAATTGATTAAGAAAACGACAATGACTTGTTGATATAACGATATATAACGACTTGCAAAACAGTTGTTAAAAGTTTTCTAATCATTTTATTGTCATCTAAAAATCAAGAAAATATTTCAGAATTTTTTAAATCATAATTTTTTGGAGAAATTCTTAAAGGATAAATTTTAATTTGTTTAAGAGCAAAAAAATAGAAAATTAGAAAACAAATACTTTTTGACAAATACTCTTTTATAAGTATTTTTTTAGTAAAAATGTAAATAATTTTATTTAAATTAAACTAATTCATAAGAAAAAAGTCAATCATTGCATAATAGAAATTATTTGTTAACTTTTTTATTATACTTCCAAATTTCAAGATTTTATTATTATAATAAAACTATAATCAAATATATCATATAATTCTAAAAATAAGAGATAGATAAATTATTTCTATTTTTGAAACTCCCCTCACACCTTTTTGTACGCATTAAAAAAAGTATTTTAAAAATTAACTCCAAATATCGTGAATCAGATAAAATCCTCAAATAACACCGTAAAATTTTATAAGTTGACAATAAAATTGTAAATTAATAATAATAATGATTCTATCTTTTATAAATTGTAATTTTTTTATACAACACGAATAAAATGGAATATTATACTTTATTGAACAATATTACCTTAAGTTTGTGGATATTATTAATAAAATAATTTAAATCCAGAAATGTGAATTTATTTTCTATCTCTTTACAATTATTTCAACAGGAAAATGTAAATTTTTATTTCACATAAAAAAATATATAATGTTTTTCGCAATTTTTTTCTTTCACTTAATAACAAACACTTACAAATTTGAAGATGGCAGTTTCATAATTTGACGAAATTTTTCAACACCAGGTAAATTCCATTCAACATAACCGGGAATATTTTTCTCGCATCTTTTAACCCATTCCTTAATATTTGGATAAGTGTCAAATGGTTTGAGGAGCTAGAAAAGAAATCGTCTTGTTTTAGTAATTGTATTTTAATTCTTTTCTCTATGTGTAATTAACTAATTCTTTAATTTTGTTAAAACTACACTAAAAAAAAAAATTGTTTTAGAAACTCAACTACTGTTAGGTAATGGAGTAAAAAGTATTTTTTTTAATTAATCTAACTCTGTTTGTATAGTAAATTTTATTATTTTCTATGTACTTCAAAATTTAGAATTCATTCAACTGAGAAAAGTAGTTAAATTTCAAAAATAAGTACAAAATAATTATTTATTTAGTATAGGACAAAAATCTCAATTTTTATTCAATAAATCAATATATTGTAAAAAAATACATGCATTAAAATAATAATAATATTAATAATATTAACTTGCCTCGAGTGTAGAAATTGAGCACACATTGGAAATATCAGCCAATGTGTATGAATCTCCAACTAACCATTCTTTACCATCTAGCATTTTTTCTAAAACTCTATAAGCATCTTTTATTAAGTACATTTCACTTTCTTCAATGCCCTTCTTGCCTTTATACAAAATAGGTCTCTGAAATTAAGTTTTGTTTCTATTAATTTGTATATTAAATGAAGTTAAATTCGAAATAAATTGAATAAATTTAATAAATTTTGTAAACTATTCAATGTTTGACTGAAGAAAAATTATAATTTTCTATTAAGTAGATACATTTCTTTTTTACTTTGCTCTGAATTAAATTATTTTTTAAATAAACAAACTTACAATAAAAATGACTGACATGGCATAAAAAAGTGATCCACAATCAAAATACATGCACTGATCAACTTTCGCTCTCATGGCAGGATCCTTTGGATAAAGATTATCATTTTTGGCGTATTTTCGAACCAAATATGTATTTATCGAATGGCTGTAATTATTTAACAATTAATTTAAAAAAACTCTAAAATATTGAAAATTAACAAGTAAAGCAATTAAAAAGCAATTTTTGAAAAAAGATTACCTAAGAATTATTATTTCTAATTTTATTTTATGTTTATTAGTGTTTTTTTGTCTCTATATATATAAATAATAAATAACATAAAATAATAAATATATAAGAAATAATAAAATAATATAAGAAATGGATTTAAATTAAATTAAGTAAAAAATAATATACAAAGAAAAATAATTTTGTATTTGTACTCAAATATAAATTATTTTGATAAAACAAAATTTTTTGGATTGTTTTTTTTTTAGGTGGTATTACCTGTCCCACAAGATAAATCCATTATCATTCAAGGTAGGCAAAGTGTGCTGTGGATTAATCTGCAAAAATTAAAAATTAATTAAAATTTATTATTATCTTTCGTATAATTTTAATTAAAAAAGAAAAATTAAATGAAAGTATTTTCTTTAAAATATATTCCAAAATTTCTATTCAAAAGAGAGAAATATTTTTCTACTATATATAAAATTATAATTATAATTATTTATAAGAATATTAAAATTATATTATAATATAAGAATATTGTTACTGTAACTTATTCAAAATAATTTCCATCATTTCAATTGAATTATTATTTTCTACAATTTTTTACTAAAATTCTTCTTTAAATCAATTATTTTTAATCATTTTTGATAAAGTTCTTTTGAGAATTTTCAAATTCATTTGTTTATAATTCAATTTTACGAAATTTCTATTATCTAGAAATTCTTTAACTATAAATATACAGTGGAAAATAAAAACTTGAAATAATTTTAATAAATTTGAATTAAGCTTTTTGAAAAAATTAGTTCCATATAGAATTTGTAATTGAAAGTATAAAAAATTCATATTTTCAAAGATTTTAATTTGAAACCTTTATAAAATTCGATTATTTCTAAAAATTGAAATTATTAATAATTTCTCAAAAATTCAATTATTATCTAAAACTTTAAATGAAATTAATTTTTAAATCAATTTTTATTAGAAAATATTCTACGAGAATTCAATTATTTTAAATTTTAAATATACGAATATAGATAATTATTAAATAATTGAATGTTTCTTCAAATTAAATTCTTATACATAATTTTATCAGCAAATTTATAAATAAATGAATTCTTTCCATGAATTTTAATAACATTTTCAAAAATAATTACATTTTTCAAGGAATTCGATTGAAATCATTGTATTAAAAATAATTGAAATTTTGCAACGAGTTTTATTATTTATGAAAATAATTGAATTATTGCGAAGAATTTTATTAAAAAAAGTTTCAAAAAATTGAAATATTATCAAAATTTTTTTTTAATAATTGAATTATTTTGGGAAATTTTATTAAAATAGTAGAATATTGAAAATTATTGAATTAAGACAAAGTTTTGAAAATAATTGAAATTTTGCCATGAATTTTATTAAAATTTTTGAAAATAATTTAATTTTGCAATGAATTTTATTAAAATTCATGAAAATAATTGAATTTGTCGAGGAATTTTGCTATTCATTTATAAAGATAATTGAAATGTTGAAGACAATTTTTTTAGATTTTTTGAAAATAATGGAATTTCTACGAAGAATGTTATTAATTTTGAAAATAATTGAATTCTTGAGATAAATATTGTTATTTATGAAAATAATTGAATTTTATAAAAATTTCTGAGTATAATAATTTATTGAATTCCGGCTACAAATTTTGTTTTTTTTTTTTTTCTAAAGATAATTATAATGTTGACCAGAATTTTTTAAAAAATTTTTGAAAATAATTGAATTTTTGAAAATAATTTTAAATATTTATAAAGATACCTAGTTGAATTCTTTCGAAGAATTGTGTTAAAATTTTTTAATTTGAAACTAATTTCAACAGAATTGAAATTAAATTTAAAAAAAAATACTTCATTAAATGATTTATAAGAAATAACTTGGGGAAAAAGTGCGACAAAGCGAAATTTTGATATAAAAAATACTAAACAAAAAAAAACTGATGTGGAATTTAGTAAAGTTATATTAGAATTTAATTAACATTCTGATCTGAATATTTGATATAATTATACTAAATTTCACATTAGTTTTTTTTTAAATTTAGTATTTTGTATATCAAAATTTCGCTTTATCGCACTTTTTCCCCAGCAGTTTGTAAAATACTTTTACAAAATTTAATAAAGATTCTCTCTCCGTGTAGACATTTAATCTTTTTCCAGTACTTTTAATAAAAATCCCTGATTTTCCCCTGAATTTCCTGACCAATTCTACTTTCCCTGACTTTTCCCTGACCTGTGGCAACCCTGTTTTTGAAAAAAAAACAGTTTATACAGTTTTTAAATTAAATTTATTAAATTTATTATTAAAATTTGCTTGTATGCAATTAAATTACTAATACCGTCCCATCTCCGACTGAAGATTAAGATTACTTGCATCAAAAAAATCTCTATGTTAAATTTTTTATTATTTTATTTTTCATTACCTTTAAAAATTCCGGTGTAAGATGTTCCCTCTTAGCTAGATTAACATCTTTAATATCCAATTTAAGACCAATTGCAGCAGCTGATAAGAGTGTACTCCGACTTGGAGGACTTGTCAGAGTATAATACAGTATTGGTCGCAGCATTCTGAAATTTAATTATTTTTCTATTATTCTGCTCTAACAAACATTTCAACGCTATGCAATTTCTTTTCTTTATTTACTTATTTTCAGTTATTTCAATTTTAATTATTTCAAATTCAAAACATGTTTTCGTTTCTTTAAAAAGTTTTGGCAGACAGTAACTTCAACTCTCGTCTTCTATATTATCAACTGATGATTATTCGGAGCACCGTTTCATACTACAGAAACTGCAGTATCATTCCACAACAATATAAATGATATAAATGCACTCATAAATTTACATGACTCTTGAAATTTATCTTGATATAAAGCATTGCTCCATTTAAAGTTCAACGATCTTATAAATATAAATAGTTGTCAACTCTAATTATATATCAATTGTATTCCAAACAACAATTAGTAGAAGTAGTGGTAGTAATAGTAGTAGTAGTAGTAGTGGTAGTAGTAATTAGTAGTTAAATATTTTTTAGAATTTATTTTCTACTACAACGTAGTATGTTGGACTTTATACTTAATAATCGAGAGAAAAAAAACATGACTTACTTGAAATAATGCAAGTTGATGAATTACTATCAAAAATTACAAGATAAGTTGATGTGTTATTTTTAAAAATTACCTAACTGTATAAGTCTAAACTATCAAATTTACAGATTTACACTATTAAAATTATTTTAGCCCTTTTGAGGACTAAACTATTTTTTTTCAAGCACATAAATACAAAAAACACGTTTCTCAGCGACCGGTTTGCTTCTATGCCGGTTAGTGACTAAGATATAAATCAAAATCCCCCTTCTACCATACCGTACAGTAAAACAATCACTCTTCTCCCCATGATGAAAATCAAAATTGAAGTTCAAATTTGAATTCAACTTGAATTTGAATTTTGATATTCAATTCTATTTTCAATATCACGAATGCATTTTTTTTTACCAAGAAATTATTTTTACCAGTCAATTATATTCTCGACGTGAACCAAAAAGAAAATTTCTTACCCGCATTTGGTAAGCTTCTATCGTTACCATCTGTGAACAAAGTAACACTCATCAACTTCTTTTTTTTCCTTTTTGCAAAATTTACGAAAGAATAATAAATAAACAATAAATACTACTACTACTACTACAAAGAAAACAAAAATTAAAAAAAATTTGCATAATGTTTAATATTTAACAGTAAAAATAAAGTTTTTGTTATGCATTCATATAGATGCAGCCATGCTAGTGCGCGCATGTAGAGTGCAATAAACAAGTTTCTTATCGACTTTTGGTCGATAATAATTTATTAATAACAATGCAGTTGTAAGCGACGCCGCGTTATTTTTTCAAAAAGTGTTACATAAATCTGAAGGACGGCGCCTAAGAGCTAAATATAGACTATTAGAAAGAGTCGTTTCCCTTGCCTTTATACAACCGTGGGCGTTTTCTACTGAGAGAAAAATAAAAGGCGCATTTATTTATTTACAAACTTTCTGCTTGATGGAACATTCGCATTACATTCGCTGCAAAATGACGTGCAACAAAAAAAAAAATGAAATGCATTTTACACTTCTTATCAAAATTTCATTTTCTACTTTATCTTTTTTCTTCTTCCGTTCTTGTTTTATATAGAGATTTTTAATTATTTATTTTATATGATAATTACTTAATTGTTATTTTATAAAAATAAGTATTTATTTATTTATTTTATTGACTAATAAAATCTTTTTTCTCATGCAAAAAAAAAATGTCAAACTCCGAAAACTAATAGAAGAATCTATTAAATTCTTATCGGAATTGTTCGACAAACCTCGTCTATTCATGTTTGTCACATATAATTACTATCAAATCGATTAAAAACTTTCAAGGTTACCAAAGGGCATTGATTGACACAATGTATATGGATATTTGATTCATTGTTGCACACTACATACAATAGAACACAAAAACTTTCCATAAATGTACTTTTTGCGACCCATTTATTAAAATTGCGACTTATTTTATTTGCATCATTAAGAATCATTATTCCGCATTTTGTTTGCTTCATTACATCTTGAACTCTCCTTATCTCTTTCAATTCATCCGCAAAAACGGAATAAAAAAAATTCTCTACTAATTAACATCTTTAATGAGCTGTGATATATGCGCATGTAGACTAATAAATTTATGTCCGAAACATTATGTAGTGGCAAACAAATTTGCGCATCTATTAGCAAGTGGTTGTAACCATCGAATGTTGTATTAAAAATTAGGCGCAATTTTGGTAAAATTAGACGCAATCATGGTAGAATTTAGTAGCAATTATGATGAATTAGCAGTAACTATGTTCGGATTGGTCAAAACTATTGTAGAATTGAGCGAAATTTTGGAAGATTTAACAGCAACTATGGTAGAATTAGCAGCAATTATGGTAGTATTAACAGAAATTTTTGTGGATTAACAGCAATTATGTTAGGATTGTACAAATATTTGATAGATTTAGCAGCAATTATTGTAGAATTAGCATCAATTGTGGTAGAATTAACAGCAATTATGGTGGATTAGCAGTATTTACTATGGTAGAATTAGGAGCAATTGTAGCTCAATTAGGCTGCAGATATGTCAATAATGTTCAAAAATTTTGACTAATCCTTGACCACATTGTATGGTTGACCCAAACCTGCAAAATCCGTTTATTATCATACCGATGGGTTGTTTGAACAACCACAAAACATGGTCAAAAATAGTGTGGCGTAATATATGGATGACCCCATTAATAAAACAAAACAGCAACATAACTTTATTTCATAACACAACTTCATTCATCATACACAACCATCATAAGTTTCGGATATCAAACACCAACAATATCCCCACCATCAAAACCAACACTTACTTTCCCATTTCTTTCCGCAGAAACCATTTTTCGCCAACTTTCATTTCCTCCATTACACACAACACAGATTTATTCAAAAGGAACTATAGAGTTCTTTTACCCATAGTCCCAAAAAAGAGTCTAAGCCACAAGTGCATAATATGCGACCTTGAAGAATGAGTGTGTATATTTCAAGGTAAGTCAAGTAGTAGTAGTAGTAGTAGAGGGGACACACACAACCACGGTCAACAAAAGGAAATTGTGCTCTATGGTCATTTCCCCTTGAACTCGTCTCTAACTACGTATTATGAGAGCCTGGACCAAAAAGAGAGGAAGAAAAGGCAAAAAGCAACGCAGAAAAAAATCAATGCTTACCCTATAAACGTCATAAACGGAAAATCAATGGTAAACCTTGTGTGACGTCAAGTGTCCCGCCTTACAATTAACCAATCACGTCACACTCTACCCCACTCCGAATTATTGTACTCTACTCTTCAGGATACCTTACATCCTTCCACTGCGCAAGCGTTTCTTTACTGCAAGAGTGAGCGTGCCCGGCGTATTTTCAACGTTTCTCATTCTCAATCAGAAACTTACAGCGATAACACACACGCAGTTGAATAACCAAAAAATAAATAAATAAGAAAAAGAAACTAAACACAATTAATCAAAAACGCTGAATCAATACAAGATCGTGAAACAAGCTTTAAAAAAAAAATTACAAAAACCAACACTGTCAACTGTCAGTCACTGGTGTATTGTCATTTGACAACTGCCAAACAATTTGCAAAAATAATAATCTTCCAAAAGAGGAATAAAAATAAAAAAAAATAGTTCCTAGCAAAAATATATTGAGTGTTAGTGTAAATAACCCCTCTAAAAAGGAAAACAAAAAGTGTTTTTTTTGGTGGGATTAAGAAAATTTTTATTTATTAAACAAAAAAAAATTTTTAATCGAGATGGCGTTTATGATGCCTGTGGTGAAAAACGAGTGGGATATTTACAAGACTAATCGAAGCAGACGCTCATCTGAATGCTCCAATCCTCAGACATGTCGCAGCAGGAAGGTGAGTCCCTTATAAGGGTTAAAAGGGGGGAAATTGCGCACACAATTCATTTTTTTTTTAATATAATTATAAAACAAGCGCGAAATTTTGTTCACCACATAATCTGAAGTATAATCTTCAGATTGCAGATTTTCTCAATTCACCATCAACATTATTGTTGATCGCCGTTCCACGTGACATGGATGTTAGAAAAAGAAATGAAAATAACACTAAAGCCGGCTATGCCAAAAGTTCAGCTGAAACATTATTGAAGAAACTCTTTAATTTAAGGGAGATTTATTCATTTATGCAAATATTCAATGGTCACAACTACACAAAATGGAAATGATTAGGTGAATTCTTTTTTTTTTAATAATATTTGCAAAAAAGAATTTTTATCAAAATAAAAAATATTGTAATTCTGTTTAGTATGTATAGTGACATTTTTCTTTTGTGCAAGAAAAAAAAAACATTTGCGACGTTTTCTAGTCCTTTAGAGAATTCTGTTCTAGATAGAAAAATATTGACTGTGTTTCTTTTGTGTAAATAATTTGTTAAATTAAAATTTATTAATAATTTATAAAATAATCGTTTCGAATTGTTTGAAATGATATGCAATGGAGATAACAGTTTTGATATAAAGGTGTTTATTTTCATAAAGACAATTTCTTCTTGGTCCTATGTCCATATTGCATATCATATGATGCAATTCATTCGATTATTATCAAACAATATGCCTTCATTAGTGTGATAAAATTCGATACCTGTATAAATCGTTAGACTACAAAAGACATGTTTTAATTATTTTAAACGATTTTTTTTATTTCATAATAATTTACTCTCTAACTACTACTAAATAAGTTAACAAATTTTACTGATATTTTGAACGTTCAAAAGAAACGAAATTTTTTATTGGAAAATTACTAGTTACTAAATTAATAAATAAATAAAATTCAACATTTACTTGGATGAAAATTAAAATTTTTAATAAATAATAATAAAATTTAATAAAAAATACAGTATTTCTAAATACTTTTTTCAAATAAAGGAAATTAGTTAACAATTTAATTGTGAACGAATTAAATGCTGAATTTACATTATTTTTCTTAAAAATTATAAATTTTTTAATGTAAAAAAGTATTTTTAATACTCTTTCAAAAATAATGTAAATTCAAACATTTATTTTGAAAATTCGAATATTTTTACAGTTAAATTTTTTAACATAAAGAAAAATGTTCCCAATTTTCTGAAAAATAATGTAAATTCAAGATTTTCTTTCTTTGAACATTTTAATGTAACAAAAGGATTTTTCTAATACTTAAAAAAAATGCAAATTCAACATTTAATTCTTTCACAATTAAATTGTTAATTAATTTCCATAGAAAAAACTAAAACACTAATTTAAATACTAATATTTCTACTAATAATTTAGTTACAAATTAATTATTTACTTCAATTCTCTCTTAAATTGGGTCAAAGTAATAAAAAATTTCTGAGAATTTTACTAAGTAGTAAAATTAGTAAAAAAAATTATTTTTTCTCACATTTTTTAATGTACAAATTGGTATTTTCCAATAAAATACAAATTAAAAGCAAGAAAAAAAACGTTCATTTAAACGTTCAAAAATTTTAAAAACATGTTAAAAATAACTAATTTTGATAGAAAAGAAATGTCATTGATTTAAATACTAATATTTTTACTAATAATTCAGTTACAATAGTAAAATAAAAATTGCTTCAGCAATTAGTCAAAATTAGTAAAATTACTAAAGTAAAAATTGTTTTAGTAATTAGTGATATTACTGAAATAAAAATTGCTTCAGCAATTTGTAAAAATTAGAAAAAAATAATTAACTATTACTAAAAAAAATTGCTGCAGCAATCAGTAAAAATTTATGAAAAATAATTAATAATTACTAAAATGAAAATTGCTTTTGCAATTAGTAAGAATTAGAAAAAAAATAATTAACTATTACTAAAAAAATTTGCTGCCGCAATTAGTAAAAATTAGTGAAAAATAATTAATAATTACTAAAATGAAAATTGCTTCAACAAATAGTAAAATTTACTAAAAACTTTTTAACAAAATACTAACTAAAAAAACTGTCAATTTTTAATATGTCAATTTACTTATTAAATTTTTACCCTCTGAAATTTGAATTAGTAAAAAAATTCTACTAATTTAGCTAAGAAAAAATTTTTCTTAAATTTTTGTAAAATTTAACTATTTTTATTTAATTTACCCAAAAATGTAACATTGAACGAATTCTTCTCTATTAAATCTTCTTCCAAAATTTCTTTAAAAGAGAAAAATAAAATTTTTTTAATTTTAGTTAATTTAGTCATTACTTCAAAATTAATTGTTTTTTTTTTATTTTCATTCAATGGTTGATAATTTTTTTTATTAAAGTTTTAATGCAGACTGACTAAAATTATTAGAAATTTTTAGTAATTAGAATTAGTCGAAGACTTATTTGCTTATTCAGGCGTAGAGAGCAGTAGAATTAGTAAAATTTCGGCCGACATTTTGCAATTAGTAAAAAATAACTAATTATCAATTATATAAATAGTTAATAATTATAGTCAAATGGTTGAATTAAATAATTTGTTGAATAATAATAAAAAGTAAAATAATCAAAATAATAAATAAATTGAAAATAATTAATAATTAGAAAAGTAATTAATAATTAATAATTAATAATTAATAATTAATAAATTAATCAATATTAATTAATAATTTAAATAATAACAATATTTAGTTCAATAATTAGTTAATAATTAGTTACTGATTAGTAAAATTATTAGTAAAATTAGTAAAATAATTAACTTAAATAATTTATTAAGTAATGAAGTTAAATAGTTAGTTTAATAATTGAATAAAAAAAATTATTAGTTGAACAAAATTTAGTTAAATAACTAATCTTTCAAAGATAAAGAACTAATTTTTAAAGAAAAAGTAAATTTTAAACAATAATTAGAAATTGGATTTTAGAAATTTACTAATAATCAGTTATTGTTTACTGATTGCCGAAGAAAAATTTCAGCTTAAATTCCACTAATAATTAGTTATTTTTAACTGATAAATAAAATTTAGATGTATAAGTATACATACCTCAGACCCAAAAATGTCAGAAATTAAAATTAAAAATAATTTTAACTAAAATCTAAAAAAAAATCTCAATTTCTGACACATTTTTGGTGACTAAAATTAAAAGTTCATAAAGACATTTTTCTTGTCTTAATGTTTCATAAACAAGAAACATAGAATTTTGATAACATTATGCCGTATAAAAATTGTAATTTTTGATAAATAATATGTTTTCAATTTTTGAAGCAATATTTTTTTAATGCCTAAAAAACAACTATAAATATGGACAATTTTTTGGCAAATTTGCAACGTTTTTCTATTAAAAAATAAAACCAAAAAAATTGTAAACTTTGCGACAATATTTCTCAATATTTATATTATATAGAAAATTAGCTCTACTGAAAAAATGTTAAAATGTCTTCATTGCAGTGTGACGTCATTTGCATGCGTCACGTGCTCTTAATTGCATTTTCCTATCCTTAAATATTTGACGTATATAGACAAAAGGATTAATGAGCCGTTTAATTCATTTTTCATAATGTTTTCCCTTAAAGACTTAATTTCACTTCCTAATAATATTTCCTAATATATATATTAAGGTAAAAACGTTTAAGTTTCTATTTTGTGTATAAAATTCAATAACATTGTATTCCGTAAAATATTTCTTATACAGAATTTAAACTTCCAAAAATTGTATTTTTAAACCGTTGTTTTTATTTTTTTTTTAAATAAATATTTAATTAAAAACCCAAAAAAAAAAATCAAAATCAAAAAAAATCTTTAAATGGTACTTTTGAGTATATTCTAAATTAAAAAAGTCGATTGTGTATTTTGGTAAACATTTCAATTCGCATTTCCCATTGAGTCAAGAATAATTTAATTATGAAATTAATTTAGACTTTAACCCCTTCGCAGTCTAGTTGAAAATCGCTTGTGGTCCAAAAACGGTCCGAAAAAAAAGTTTACAAAAAAATATGATTTAATCATATATAAGGTTTTTGGGGTCGCTGAATTCGAATTTGAGGTTAATTTTTGAAAATTCAAAATGGCGGATCCAATATGGCGACCAAATATGGTGGATAATTTTAAAATTAAAGCGTTTTAAGGGAAATTCATTTCTCGGGGGTTTTCGAGGTCGCTGAATCCAAATCTGAAGTCAGATTTAAAAAATTCAAAATGGCGGACCCAAAATGTCGACTTCAAAAAAAAATTTTTTTTCAGATTCCCTTAAAACTCGTTACTCGGGGGTTTTCGGGGTCTCTAATTACAAATATGATGTCAGATTTTCAAAATTCAAAATGGCGGATCCAATATGGCGGATGATTTCAAGATTGATGCGAAAAAAATATGAAGTTACCTCAAAAACCCCTGAGTAAACATTTTAGACAAATTTGTCAACATTCAAAAAATTTGATCGACATATTGAATCCAAAATTTAGCATTTAGAAAAACGAACATCAAATTCGAATTCAGCGACCCCAAAAAACCCCGGGAACGGAATTTCGATCAAAACGCATAAATTTTGAAATTATCCGCCATATTGGATCCAACATTTTGAATTTTGTAAAACGAACATCAAATTCAAATTCAGCGACCCCAAAAACCCCCGAGAAACGAATTTTAATCGAATCGCATCAATCTTGAAATTATCCGCCATATTGGATCCGCCATTTTGAATTTTAAAAATCTGACATCATATTTGTAATCAGAGACCCCGAAAACCCCCCAAGTAACGAGTTTAAAGCGAATTTGAAATTTTTTTATTTTTCGAAGTCAACATTTTGGGTCCGCCATTTTGAATTTTTTAAATCTGACTTCAGATTCGGATTCAGCGACCCCAAAAACAGTAGTATGTACTTCGCTACTAAAATCAAATCATGTTTAGTATTTTTTTTTTGAGATGGCCATATATGGCCACAGACGCAAAGGTGGC